AGGAATGAAGAAATGTAAATAATTGTTGTGCCAGCCAAAAAGCAAAGAGGAAGTACCGATTAAAATATCGAGTGACAGAAGAGTTCCTAAGATTGTTGAGATCGGGTTTATGTTTTGAAATGCCTTAAAACCGATATCGATAATGTCTCCCCGTCGCTGGGCAGCCTGTATATAAATATACAGCTCTCTATTTACATAATTATAATTCTTAGGTAGGTTTAGATTTGCAGACATAAATCTTGTAATAAATATAACAGCTGCCTAATACATTGATTACATTTTCATTAGCCAATGTAAAAATGTCTTTTATTGTACCTAGGATTTGACTAAACACTACACAAAACTAAAAATAAAATGCCACTTTCATCGTGTAATTAATGCCGCGTTTGAGAATCCACATCGGATGCATTTTTTACATCTCGAGCGTTTTTTATCCACATCGGACACATCTGTCCCATTACATTTACGTATACTGAATCACGTGATCAAAGATTTACTACTTACTACATCTCAGATGCATCCGATGTGGATTCTCAAACGCGGCATACATAATAAACTACAAACGGTCCTGTAAGGGCAGCGTCATATAGCCTTGAAACACCGGATTTTAGTGCTATTGCCAGGTCAATATTGAATTTGTAGGTGAATCGCTTATTGAACATTAAAAATACGGTATTAATGACATTAATACGGTATTTGTATATATTTTTGGGAATGTAATTACACATAAATATTATTAGTTGATTATTTAAATGTTTATAAGTTATTTTGTGGCGATATTTCGTAGATATAGGGGTCTATTCTGTAACAATTCCTTTATATTTAACGGCCTTTATAAATATGGGCGGCCTATAAAAATATGTTCGTATTCGTTAATTTACTTCTATCATTATTTAAACAGATTTCTTTAAGATAGTCCTCTAATGTATTTTAAAGATCCGTTTAAATAGGGACCGAATTAAAGAAGGAAATATTTTTAAAGGCCGTTAAATATAAAGAAATTTTTACAGAATAGACCCCATTAACTGTTTAAATCATATAATTTAAAAATTAATTAATTTAAAATTCTTTTCTGTTAGGTATGTTTAATATATTTGGCAACACTACAGGGACAAGTCATGCATATTGCGCAAGCTTCTAGACACACTATTTTGCGATGTCAGGCGCAGAGACGCGTTTTTATGCACAGTAGGTTTCAATTTCTGCTTAAATGTTATGTTTATATTGGTCTTCTATATTATTTCTATGGTGACAATTCCGTAAAATTAATTGTCAGTATATATTTTTTTAATTATTTAGATTAAATATAAATAAAAATTAGTGATTTTTGTAAAGAATCAATAAATAATAGCATTCCACAAGATATTCGTCTATATTTAGAAATAAACTGAGATTTTAATGAAACTAAAAGCAATCTGATTATCAGCGTTAAAAAGTAAAAGTCTTCATAACGAAAATTTAGAGTACTTGTCTACGAATCGAAGGGTTCTGAGTTCAAACCCCCCGAGTGGACACTTTTTTTTTATTATTTAATTTTATTTTCTAAATTGGTAAAACTTAAATTAATTTCAAAACATTAATTTTACGTTAATAATCAAATTATAATAGAATATTATAAGGTCAGGTAATTTTATTTAAATCTTTTGACAATTAAACTAAAAACGTGTGTGTCTAAAGGAGAAATATACCGAAAATTATAACAAGTATTTAAATTTTGCTAATAAATTTGTATTAGGTATGTGTTAAAAGAAAATACATCATTTTGTATTTGAATATACTGTGTGTCGCAAAATGTATGCACCAAGAAAACGCACAAAATTACATTTTTCTTTAATCTACGTAAAAAAGTGCGAATTAAAATTTTTTTACTACAAATTTATGGTACCTAACAGGGTTATTCATTATAAATTACCCTCCCTTTATGCTATAATTATTATTGTATAATGTTTACATTGACCGAATTTTGTAAAAATGTCATCAAATGACCATATAAGTGGTGTGCATATTTCACAGGATTTAACATGAATATTTTTTAATAAGGATAGCATAGATATATATTTTATTCAATTTTCGAAATGATCTTTATTCTTTCCTGATTAATTAAACGTCGAATATCATAGATAATCTATGTCGAATATCTTATAAATATTTACACTTTTTCTTTCTCACTGTAAACTACCTATTTGGATTATTTTATTATCAAACATAATAGTTGTGATTTTCATAGCTTTTACTTTAATAATATTAACTTTTTCATGTTTACATTATCAACTTTAAATTACTCGAGAACAGACGGTATAAGATAGGGTTATCAATAATATACATTTGTGAAATTAGAAAAAAAATATCCCAGAAATTTAATAACATAGAGGGTATCCCATTTAAAAAAGTTTATTTGTGTTGTATTCCGTGAAATCTGAATACGTGTTTTTATGGTTTATTTAAAAAAAGTCAGTCATATTCACAAACTTTTATTTAAAGCTTTTTTTGAATATGCAATAGTGGTTATAAAAGGTGTCTTTAATAGTGAATAATCTTGTACATGATCTCAAATAAATTTATTGAAATTAATTTCATTTGTAAAAATGTCACTTCCGCTTCTCCCGTATTGCTAAAAAAAAAATTATGTCCAGGTCCAGGATTTGATGGTGGATAATATTAATTCTAGATACATTTTTCAAGTAACATTGTTCTCCTGTTTTTAGAAATAAAGCTTAATGTTTAGCCAAATTCATATATTTTTTTTTGGACACACAGTATGTTTGTATAATATTAAAAACTTCCCCTACTAAATATTTTGGCTCAATCAAAGTAGATATCTTAAATTGATTATTGTTAGAAAAAGTAGAAATAATATTAAATATAATAAAGAAATTAAAAAAATAATTTAATTTAATAATTTGATTTAAAAATTGAAATTTTAGTTTATATGTATAAAAATTGTAGATTTTAACTGTTTTTTTTTAAGTTCTAACTTGATTTTTTGGGGATGCCACTCCCTCCATCTCCCTCTAGGAGAAAATGTTGCAAATCATTTCTATTGTAAATATGCCAAAAATAAGATTTTTATGTATTTGTAACTATTTTTAAATGCCAGCCCCCACATCCGAACTATGAAGATTAAATTCGAAATTTTTTCAAAAAAATTGTAATTTTGTGTTTTTATGTATAAAAAATCGTAGACTTCAACTGTTTTATTTAAAAAGTTCTAACTTAATTTTTTGGGAATGCCACCCTCACCATATCAGATAGGGGTGTGGAGGGGTGAATTTTTTAAAGCGATTTTTATTTTTATGGGATAATACATCCATATACCAAGTTTAGTTTCAATATTTCGACCCTATCCCCCAAAGCTGAACCCCAACCAATAATCCTTATAGAACCCATTGTGTTTACTTCAATATTAAGAATTCATTTATATTATTTACCAGCCATCTTAAGGGTTTTTTTTTATTACATTGTTACGCACCAGATTAAAGAAATAACCTGTTGTTTATAATTACTTATGCTAAGTACTTAGGTATTTAAATTAAAAATACAATTTTCTCAAAACACTTAAGAAATGTATTATTATTGCTATTATTAATATTATATAATTTATTTTAAATTAATTCGAATAAAACCTGTAAAGGAAACGAAAAACAAAAGCATATTTTCTATTTTATTAATTTCAAAACAGTTATAAATACCTACACAAATTTTTTTTGGGAACTCGTCTTTTATTAACAGTAAAATAATTCAGTAATAAAACATAAACACAACTCATTCACAATACCTACTACCCGTAAACGCACAATAACAAACATTAGATAGAAATCACGAGTGTATAAAATTTCATCCAAGAGCTAAAAATAGAAATTTATCGATCGGTCTCAGTCATTCTTAAAAAATTCTGCTGGACCCTCAACTCCGCCCACTGCAAACGAATATCGACTTATCCATATTCACTAGCGCCATCTATTGGTAGTATGAATGAAACTTCCATAAGGTGAGACTACTATTTAGTTCTTTATACAATGCTATAATTAATATTGGTAAAGTTTCCTTTAATTTGGCATAACAGTCTATAATCCTCAACCAATATTCTTCATATATTGGTTTAAAAAAAAGAGCAAGAGTTCACTGTGATTACACCCTGGAATGAATCCTTAATACTTCTTGTTAGATTTTTAATTCTACTTATTCAGCAGTCTCTAGGAATCGAAACTTGACAAATATCCAATATGCCCATATCTTTGCAAATTGTTGGTGTGAGAAAAAACACAACCAATATGTTTGTTGGCGCTAATGAAGAGAAAAACATGGTTTTGAGTTTTTATCTTATTTTTCTTTATTTTAAAAATAATTAAGTACAAAATTTGAAACAATATTGTTTACTTGGCAAGTGCTAGAATTCTTGAAATTGGGCCAAATTGCAGATTTAAAAAGTAGGTCAATTGTTAAATATCCTCAATAGATTTACGTTTTATAAAGATAATATTCCAAACAATTTTCTATCATTTATATGGTATGCCAAATCAAAAGCTTCACTTTTTAATATATCTTAATTTTGACAGTAGTCACATATTTGCAAATTGCATAATAGAAATGAATGTAACTCTAGACAACTGACATTTGTAAACCAAAAAATGTGTATTTCTACCTCAAATAAATGTAGATTTCTGCTAGTTTGGTAATTTGCACAACTGGTTCAAAACAACGTCATAAAACACATGCCTAACACTAGGACCCACTGTTAATAATAAATTGATTATTTTAGATCAAATTTTAGATTCATTGTAACTATATAGATTAAATTTATTTTAAATTAAAAGTGTTTTAGACTAAATGTATTTGAGATAATCTGTCTTTTTTACCAGCTTTCTAGTACCCTTAATAAATATCAACTAAACTAAAGTTATAGCAATGGCGAAAGGAACATAATGGATCAATATTCAAATGTAACTCAATTAACTTATATTTTATCTTAACCAGTTTCATCTTACTAATTGTTTACTAACCTGTGCTTGGGCTTGAGAAGTACTGGATTCATCCTCTTTCTTTCCTCCTTGCTTGTCTTGTTCTTTTCTAGTCATGTGACCTCTAAAGGATGCTTGAATTTTCGTGGCAGCGTGACATAGTTCTGTAAATAAATTGTAAAATTAACAAATAGTGAACATAAGTCAAAACGTCAGAATTTTTGGTTAAAAAAATACATTTAAAAACCCAAAATAAGTTAAATAAAATATTACCATTTGCAAACTAGATAATATTTAGACATAAACAACTTTGTTTGACACACAAATTATGTCATCACTAATATGAAGTAGGGTTATTAAAAATATTATTTTTGTGAAACATAAAATAAACTTTTTTCCATTTCTATAAAACTTTTTGAATGTATATTATTTATTTTTCCATATTATATCCACCAGATATTTTCTATGTTTTATTAGCTTGAGTCAGAACTTCTTGATTACAAACTTTATAGTTTGACTTTGGTACAAATTATTTTAGTTTTACGTTTTTATCTAGTTGGACCTGCTATTAGAATTACAAATATACAAACTCACTATGAATTATAAATAGACATTGTTCACAACTTCGTATTAAGCAACTATGAAGTTGAAACTTGAAAGTTGGAACTTTGTTATTGAGTCTTCGTGTTTGGCTTGGCTTGCCATATAATGAAGTATCTAACTATGCGAACTATGTGTCACCATTAAAGATTGTAATAGAATAACTTTTGTTCTATAAGTTAGAACAAATTTAAGTATAGAAATTAATTAATTAAAGGCATTTGTAACTGCAGGGAATTATAAACAAAGGTAAGAAAAAAAAAATGGAAAATGGAATAAGATCACTCCAGTGACCAACCTATAAAACTTTTGCTATTGATTTCATATTCTTATTTAATATTTATGTTTTAATATCACGATAAATTATTCTACAGTATTTCATACGTTTTTATTATTATTTCCTGTAGAAATAAACTTTATTCATTTTCTTTAACAAGAGTTATTTGCAAGTTTAAATAAAACACCCTTTTGGCTCGATATACATTTGGCTGTATAGCTAGGAATTACGACTTTTGAAATGAAGTTATAAAAGTTTTGTAAAATATCCATGTCTGGAATTTTATTTTAAGTTTTGGAAAGGTTAAACTTTGGCATCAGGACGAATATAAACATTTTCATCTAGCTTTATGTAAATTAGTTTAAACATTTTTAAATAAATTTGTATGTAAATACTTCGTACGAAACTTTATCATTTACAAATAAATAAATTAATAAATAAATAAAGTTGACGAAAAAAAAAATTAAAATATCTAATTCAGCATTTTAATCCACACAATTAAATCTAGTTCTATTTTTAACCACAAAAATGTAAATATTTCTTTTACTTTTCAATTATTCAATTTGTATAGTTTGTATTTTTCCTTATCAACAAGTTAGGTTTTAACAATTCATTTTTCATGTTCTATTTTTATTCGCTTCTTGATTCAAAGGGAAACAATTACTTTTATGAGCTAAATATAGTTCGCAGTTGTTAAGCGAAAACCATTAATCTTCTTCCTGAAAAGGGGAATTAATATTAATCTTGCTTTTGAATCTTACATTGTCGACGGAGTTACAACCAAGTTACATAATTGGTTTGCCTTATTCTTTGGTCGACAAAAAATTGTTTTTGACCGTAATCGCTAGCGAGAAAATAGGAAATGATATTTCGTAGTAATAGCGATAATATATATTGGGTTTTGTTGAGAAAAAAAAAGTGAAATAGGTAATAAACATCAAGCAGAATAAGTTTTTTTACTTTCCTGTATTGAGTAGGGAAAGTTTTGGAATAATCTTTAGGTTTTAAATGCGTTTTGATCTCAGATAAATAAAGAAAAAGATAAGTTAACATAAGCTTTGTTTGAAGCTCGTATCTACCAATGACATGTAGTTTATATAGACTGCTTATCCATATATAAACAAGTCGACGAAAAGCGGTTTTATTAGTTTTTTGAATTCATACACAAAACAATGAATTACTAAAATTGTTAGTGTGAGAATATGATTTTTTATTAATATTATTATTATTATTTGCAACTGTTGAATAATAAATCATTGTGCAGAAGTTTGTGATTAATTACAAAATATATTAATAAATCAATCATTTTAAACAATTAAAACAAAATAAATTTTCTCAAAATACCTTCTTCCCTAAAACAAATTTTTATTCAAGTGTTTAATGTTAAAATAGTGACAATTCCCTTTCGTCCTTGAATATAATAATAAATAATAATAATAATAATAAACTTTATTTACCACAGTAAAATACAAAACATCTGTTTGCAATATAAATAGAAAATTTCAATAAATAAAGTTAAAATAGCCGATAAGTGCTTTTGCACTTGTTTCGGTTTTACATACTAAAAATATTTAAAATATAACAGTTTTTTAAAAAATGAAACAAACCAACAATATAATTGAAATAAAATAACGTAGACATTATTAAAAAAACATAACTTTTTAACAAGACAATATATACAAATAATAATATAACGATACAATAGTATATTACATTACGAGTGTAGAAAGTGACATTTTTCACACGAGTGGGAAATATTGTTGCACGAGGCGCAAGCCGAGTGCGACTATCACATGAGTGTGGAAAATCACTTTTCACACAAGTGATGTACAATATTTTTCCTACGACCACAAAATAAAATGTAATGTAATATAATAAAATGTAAAACCAAGGTTATTATTACTATAATAATTAAAATATATTTAAAAAAATAATCAATAATAATCGTATTTATTCAATTTTCATATTTTCTAAACAAAAAAAAACTAAAAAAAAAAAAAAAATTCTGCCCGCCAGGATTCGAACGCGGTCGAAAAATGGCAAAGTTGACCACCTGAGCTAATAGCCCTTGTGTCAATTGAATGATCTAATCGGTTATGTATTTAACCAGAATAAAGAGCAAACATTATTTTAAAATTATTTTAATAATAATTGTTAAAGATAAATATCTAGGATCTAATTTACAACGATTTCAATAATTTAACAATCATATCGATTTTAGTATTAATATGGACATTACATAGATCAAAATAGAAATTAGGTGTTTGACATTTTGTAACAACTACTGCGGAAAGTAACATATTCTCACTCGGGTGGAAAGTAAATTCTTATTCATACGCGTGTGATATAGGGCACTTTCCATAGAACTATATAGTGTGATATGTGTCACTTTCCTAAGTGATCGTAGGAAAAATTAATTTAAAGCAAGTGAGTACAGATAAAATAAAGGATTTATGTATTATGATAATTTTAGCACTAGAAGTACCTTCGGTGCAGTGGGTAGGATTAGCTTGTTATTATTCTATCAAATTAATGTAATACTGCCTTTCTCTTTGTGTTATCGCTTCTTTTAAATATTTTTTAAATGTTATTTTGTTACTAATTGATTTTATATTTTCAGGAATAGTATTATACATTTTAGTTCCAATATTGGAGTATGATTTTTGCGATATGGACTTTTTTACTAGTGGGTGGGTATGAAGTATTCGATACCTAGTATTATATTTGTGATCAGGGTACGGTGCCTTATCATCACTAAAATGATATCTTATACAAGTATTATAATAAAATAGTTGTCGAATATCCATAATAGTTGATTCATTGTATAAATCATTAGAGGGGTATCTTGAGGGCTTTGACATAATTATTTTTAGAAATCGTTTTTGAAGTGCTTCAAGTTGATTTATGTATACACGTGAGGCTGCCCCCCGTACTGTAATTCCGTATCTGAGATGGCTTTCTACCAGTGCAAAATATACATTTTTCAAATCTTTTATATGTTTAAATTTATATATTATTTTTTGTAGTTTTTTGGTGACATAATGTATGTGATAATCCCATCTGAGATGCTTATCGAGGTGTATTCCTAAATATTTTATTTCTTTTGCTGATTGAATAGCGTAGTTCTTACACTGGATTTCTATGTTGATGTGGTTCAGATCACTCAAACCAGACACATTACAACTAAAAGGTAAGAATTTTGTATTGTCTAGATTCATAGTTAAAAGTTTACAGTCGAACCAATCTTTTATTATTTTGACATCACCTTCCACTTTCTTCTTTAAATTTGGCCATGTATCTGCTTCATAGAAAATTGCTGTGTCATTTGCATATCCTATTATATCTCCTGCTGAATTTAAACTAAATAGTCCATTAATATACAAATTAAAAAGTATTGGACCTAAAACAGCATGTTTTTTGTCTGGTCATTGCACAATTGCAGTGAATGACATAAGAACATTAGCATTGATCTATCGAACAACGAGAATCAATTTATGAGTTGCTATTTTTATAACTTCAAAGGAAAACGAGGCCATAGAAATTCCGGAGATATCCAGGTGAGTTTCTGCCGCTCCCGACAATCGATCCAGTTTGGTTGGTTTCGCTGCTTCAGAACGTATCCTATCTATTAGAGGGATGTTCGTAGAAATAGTTAAGTTATTGTGTCGAATTAATATTAAATGTGACACCATTATATTGATTTCCATTAAAAATAAACAAAAAAATAACACGAGAGCACTAAATTCGTTGTTTCTTTTTCGATCTTTACTATTTATGGTTTTTGTGTATTATTTATTCCTGTACTATTTGTGTAATTCGTGTATTTTTTGTATTTCATATACTATTTGTGTACTATTAGTGTACACATTATTTAAATTAATAGTTTAAAGTATTTATAATTGCCTATCGCGAATAGATAAAATGTATATATGAAATTGGAAGCAAAATCGGTAGAACAGTCTGCTTGTTTTGTTTAATCGTAAAATTCGCGACATTTTGGTCCTTCGAGCCGGATTGAATTAGATTTTTCGATAGAATATTTCCTGCTCGTCCAAGTTGAAGTTGTTTTTTCGTTATCAATTGAAAAATTACTTGCCTATTATACCGAATTTTACGTAAAATATTTAGTTTAAATTTGTATTAAGGTAGGTTGACTTTGAGGCAAAAGTTGAGTTTTTTCACCGTGTCATGACAACAGGAAAATAATTGAATTTAAAAAGACTACAAGCAAAACTCGTCCTGGAAATTACAAAGGATGCACTAATACTAAGGAGCTACAAAAAAAAG